TAATATTATATACAGAGTGTTCCATTTGAAAAATCAAAGTTGCTACTGCTTTCTAATAGAAGCGGCAACACCGCATTGTCGAAAATATTTTAGTTGGCTAGAGAATGTCCGAATATGCCCTCCATTAAATTTTCAAAGTGATCCGTTGTCTGGTTCACCAGAAACGTCTAATGTGCCATCCACCGTGAATCAGCCTGTATATAAAGGTAGAAATAAAAGATAGGTTAAATTTTTGCCTATGCCATATTGAAATAATATTACCACTTTCTAGATGGATAATCCAATTAAGACAGCTAATGTCTGGTACAAACATAAACTATGACCACGCTTACAAGTCATCTTTAAAGAGGATTTCTAACAAGCAATATTATTGAAACGAACATCAATACTTGTGTAAACATTATTTTCATTGAATGTTACCAAACCGGTTCAATAACGCCGAACCTTTTTGAAAAGAGTACCAGTATCATAATATCAGATTTATTGAATTTGGTGAATAAACATTTTCAGCTGTGTAATAATTCAGTTACACAAAAATTATTCAAAGTGTCAGAAATTTAACTTGATTTTGAAATTATGTTAATTAAATAGGATTTCATCAAGTGATGAAAGCACTTGATAAAGCTACTGTGTTACATGTGATATATATTTTTCAAATAAAGTTTGTGGAGATCAAATCGTGAGGTGTAGTTTATGAAATTACTATGGATCTTCATCAAGTAACGGCAGAATCAATCAGAAAAAAATTGCGAGTGATGAATGAAATACAATGATGAAATATTTTCCCATTGAGTAGATCCTATGCAAGAAATGACTATTTGAAAACCGCCAATATCATGCAAATACGTTTTCTGAACATTGACATGTGAGTTCACAATCGAATTAGAAACTTCGTCTTTATTCTTAACCTTAAAAAATTTTACAACTTCAATTTCACTAAATTCCCTTTTCAACTAGATCACTTACTTTCAGGTGAGCACTGATGATGACAAAAGTCGAAAGCGCTTTGCAAGAATTTTAATATATTATACACTTTAATACAAAACCTCTTCGATTCATTACTTTTACATAAAGCCAGACTATGGACATGTCGAAGTATTTGTGGTAAACCTTGGGGCTTAGATCCCAAAAAATGGATTTATGTGATGAGTGTCAGACCAATGATCACTTATGGAGCAATTGCCTGGTGACCAAAGGCTCAGGCGAAGTTCTCTGGCTTACAGAGGCAGCCTTGTCTGGCCATCTGCGGTGCCATCAGTACCACACCATCAGCGGCCATGGAGATCCTTATAAATCAACCTCCATTCCATATTTTTCAGGAGAGAGAGGCTAGATGGACTGCATATCGACTTGTGCACGTCGCCAATTGCACAAATCAATCTAACGCAGAGCATAATAGACTGCTGATTGACACTGGAAGTCACAGCATTCTGGAAATGCCCTTATGCCTCCAACTGTCAACTATGAACTGCCTTATACAGTACTGTCTCCGAGTATTGAGGGCTGGATCCTCAAGGAGGATATATTAAGATCAGATAGTTGTTGGTTCACAGATGGATTAAAAAAATCTTCAGGTTCTGGTGCAGGTGTTTTTAGTCGCAGAACCAGGACAGAGGTATAAACCTGCCTAGGGTCCTATGCGACTGTATTTCAAGCGGAGATATATGCCATTAAATTGTGTACGGAGATATTGGTAGCATCCAATCTCATACACAAGCCAATAAAAAATATTCTCGGACTATCAAGCGGCGTTGGAAGCTCTTGGCTCCTACCGATCAACGTCTTAATTGGTAGCAAATTGCCAAAAAGCAAATTGCCAAAGACGACTCTCTTCAATAGGAATACTTAACAAATTGTCTTTGGCCTGGACTACTGACCATACTGGCCTGGAATGAGGCTGCCGACTCCCTTGCAAAGGAGGGTGCTGCCAGCAGCTTCAATGGACCAGAACTTGTCATTTGCATCAATTTAGGCTTTGCAAAACAAACATTGAACACCTGGATGGCAAGAATATTTATGGACTTCTGGCAAAATCTGGATTGGCCCACACCAAGACATTCATTCACCTTTCGAAGCTTGAAACCAAACAGTTGTTGGACTACACTAGGGATGAACTACGATGTCTAACGGGCTTTCACACAGGTCATTGTGAGAGAATGGAAAATGATGAAACAGCGGAGCACATACTTTGTGCCTGTCCCGCTGCAGACCGAACCAAGTTTTCAGAATTTGGCAGAATCGCACTCTCACTATCTGACCTGAAAGACTACTCACCATAAAAACTAATCGGCTTCGTTAAGAAGCTGTATTTATTTGGTCGAGTATAAATAGGTGTGAGCCACAATAAACCCTTGCGGGTTGTGGTTGAGGGTCCTACTATCACTTGAAAAGTTATCAAAGAAAAACATTTTTCATTTTGTAACTTCGAGGGCCCGTTACTTGGTAACGAAGACTTTTAGGAAAAAAAGTTATATGAAGTACCGGTAATATTGGGACCCCATCTATACATTCCCGAGAGGAAAAGAGGAAGTCCAGGGACACCCTGTATATTCAGTTTCATTTACTTTGTCCAAAGAAGTACTGTTATAACTAATATTTCATATCACAATATAATAACTAACACTTATTATTTCGGACCTCTTAAGAAAACATGTTGAATTGATTTCCACATCTCACTATGTGACTGGACTAGCTATCAAATATGATTATGGATTTATGCTTATTCAGACTGAAATTATCAAATTTTATTTGTCTTACCTTTATATTCTGAATAAAATTATTCACCGACAGATCATAGAAAAGAAATATGTCTGTGAATAAGTTGAAAACCTTTCCACCTAGCTGAAATGGACAATGAAAGGTGAAAAACACATTTTCCAGAACGTTGTTCAAATAATCAACCGACCGTTGTGATTTGAACACTTTCACACATATTTTTGAAGACACCTTGTAAGGTAGTGAAGAGTGTAATGTAGTTATTGACGTTGCTATACCAAAAACAAAGACGAAAGGTAAAACTCTGATGTAGCAGCTGACGATCAGGATGAATTTTTGAAGAACTTGGACATTGAAACTTTCAAAATCAGGTATAATAACCACTAAGACTTTTTTGTTATTTTTAGTATGTTGGTTTTCTGAGACAGAAGTTTTCACATTGTATAAATTTTCATACCAGCATTGGAGCACCGGTAAATTGAGCTGATTTTTTTTTAGGCGTGTTTTCATATCATCATCAGTCAGCATGTCCTCCTGAAGAAAAAAATAATATGATTGAAATATAGTGACAGTTAAAGCACGAAATTAAGAGATCTACTCTTGGCCAGTGAATAGTTGGATATTTGTGAGCATTCAACTAAAAGTGAGGTACTATTTTTGAACACTTCAATACCTAACCACGCAGCAACGTTTATGCCATTTGCTTACATTTGAAATACGAATGATATATTCATGACTAGTGAATCTTCCCGGCTCCGCACGGGTGCAACGATGATACCAAATATAAATTCACCCACCAGAAATTTAAGGGCATGAAGAAACAGTGATGAAGCGATAATTTGTTTTATGGACGCGCCTTTATCCCTTGCGGCTGGCGCCCCAGTTGGAATATTAAAAAATCATTTCTTATTGCACATCTACAACATAAAACGAACCTACATTGTAACCCTTTTTTTTGGGTTCTCTTGCACGGTGCTCTTCGTCTGGGAGCTTATGGGTCGTAAATTAGGAGGGAACTTTCAAATTATATCACAACACAACAAAAAAATATTTTTTGAATGTTTCCTACACTAAATTAGTCAATTTCTACTAATTTTGGGGTGATAAAAACGAAAATAACAATGAAAAATTTTTATTAGCTCTGGTTTTTGAGATACACAGTACTTAATCTTAAAGAGTAGTTATACTATACGTGAAAAGTGAAAGTACATAAAACAATATTGTTATGTTTCTTTTAGAATATTT